CCCCCCCCCCGCCCCTTTATAAAAAAACTCGAACGACACGTCGGCTTATTTGAGCGAAACTTCACGTATCATAGGATGTGCCTCGGAAGCTTGCTGAGCCCCCTAAGGGAGCTGAGCCAGGACGAGGAGCTGGCGCTGATCTGTCGCGTCTTGGATTTCGTCAAGCGGCTGTTTGCGCGTTATAAGCCCGTGTGCGCCGCCCTCGAGATCATGCGGATGCGAGCGGAAGACGAGAGGTTCAGGAGCGGCTACAGGACGCCACGCGACTTTAAACGCGGTCCGTCTGTTCTGGGCGATCATACGCCGCCCCCACGGTGACCCGCTGCGTTGCCCCCCCCCCCTTTGGCGTTGACGGATGGTTAGGAGCCGGTTACTTGAAAGGGGGGTTAACCGGGGAACGAGCTAATCTACCATCAGCTTGCACTTTCGAGGCTGGCACTCGATCCGCAGGCGGCATCAAGCCAGGACGCTACCACTCCTTACATTCCCCTATAATCAGATAGACTCAGCGTTTTTGCTGATAGAAGCGGTCCACCCTGCAATCCCAATGCAAAGAGAGCGACTTCTTTGCCGTCGTGATCGATGTGTCCAATCGTACATTTGTTCTACAATGAAGGTCCGAGTCGAGAGTAAAGAGAAAGAGAGAGAGAGAAAAACACGTTTCAGTACTCCAGCTGACTGTATTGTAGATGCAACAGGTCGCCAATCAAGGGCTCGAACTGCACGAGCAGCCCGTCCAGCATGTGCTCATGGGTGTTTATAATCGCCTCCACGAGGTCGACGATAGCATTGCTGTATATCGAAAAAAAACGGGTCCAGCTCAATCAATCTCATACACAGGACGACGACGAAAAAAAAAAAGACGAAATCGGACGCACTCGATTCCCTGCAAGCACTCGCTGACCTCCGGCGCCTCGCCGACGCCGTATCGTGCGGCGGCGATGACCGCGTCGCTCACGGCCGGGATCGTCGTCCAAAGCAGCCGGCCCGTCATCGCCGCCACGTCCGCCGCCTGGCCGTCCGAGCGGGCCAGCGTCCGCACCATCCCCGCGTGCTCCTGTACCCAGCGCGTTCCCTCGACCAGCAACGCCTGTATCTCGTCCGAGAGCGGCTGCACGGTGTCGGGCGAGAGGTCGGAGGGGGGTATAGATCCTAAGACGCGGGTTAGCGGTTTTGTGTTGTGAGATGGCCAGGAGATCTTTTAAGATTGTGGGGGGGGGGGGGGGGGGGGGGGG